GTTTTGCCATAAGGAATATCAAAGAAAACCAAATGAGGAATTTCAAAGCTATTAAGCAACAATTAGGAGTTCTTGAATATGATTAAGCTGTGAATCTAAGGCAATGGGTTAATGAAAAATGTCATGAAATGAGAGTAGAGTTTAGAAACAGCCTTTATTTGAAGAAGACTTGAACTTTTGCGGTTGGTTCGCCTAATGGACTTCAAGTCTGATGGTGAATGGTTCTAACCCTCCCGCAAACTTATAGTGCCCAGATTATCCAGACCTTAATCTCGAACTAATGCATTCGCCTTCCCTTCATGAGACAAGCGATTCCTTGCAAAACAGATTAGAGTTAATGGACAACAAAACAAACTTGGTGAAAGATTAGTGTAAGTGAATAGAATGGGCAGAAATAAAGGAGAATAATAGTATAGTAGACAATAAAGGAGAATAGAGAATAGAGAGTTTGCTCAAGAGTTCAAATGGACAGAGTTTTGCTCTGTTTTCTTGAGTTAAGCGGAAGCTTTAACAACCAAGGCATCCAATAATCATCAAGAGTTTGGTGCTTTAATGGCTGAAACAATATGGACCGTTGGGCAATTCATTTACCCACCGGTTTAAGACATAAACACACCGAAATAACTCATGACCAAGAGTTTTCCGGTGACTTTAAAGAACTATGAACCACGAAATACCATATTGAAGATGATTTCCGTGGCCTAGTTTTAAAGAAACCATTGGAACAAAACAGTTTGTCCAATGGAATCATCAATTTCTCTTCACATGCTTGGTCTAAGAACTTTAACAAGACCAGAATCCAAGCTTTTCTCAACATTGAGCTGCTAGAGAAACGATTTTAACAATAAAAGCTGAAACTTTAAAGAATCTAGTCTAAAGCTGAAACCTTTAAAGAAGCTAAGCAATTTAACAACTAAGAGAAATTTAAAACTGACTTGAGAACGATTTTAAGAGTTCCAAGAGAGCAACCTGCTCTGATACCATGTTAGAATTTAAGAGACTAAGCTCATAAGAAAGAGTAAACAATCACTTGGTGATTGAATCTCCTTTTATCCACACAAAGGGAACTCATTCTCAAGAGGAAGAGACCATCAACTTGTGATGGAATCTACACCAATATAGCTTGATAGAACCGAAATCTCTATGGAGAGAATCGATCCTAGCAAGACAACTATCTCTAGTATGAAGCTAGATCCTTGAGAAGTAACACAACACTAAAGGTTTGTGTACTTAGAGAGAAACGAATCTATGAATCATTAACCTAGAGTAAACAACATAAATAAGAGATAATCAAGAGTTTAAGGTGTATTTAAGAGAAGTATGACAAGCAATAGGCTGCCTAGAGGCAGCCCTAAATCGTGTAACACTATCTCTCTACATTGTAACTCTTTAGTTGAACACAAGTAAAGAAGAGAGAGCTACACGAATTTGATATAAGAGCTTGTCTATTAATCTTGTGTGTTCTTTACAATGAGGCTTCTAGCCTTTATATAGAAAGGGAACTAGGTTAAGGTGTCTCACAATCCCCTTTAATCCTAGCCCTTCTTTTCTCTCTTTAAATCTCCACCATTCAATTCAAATAACTTCTAGAAGGTCCAACGGTCATGTTGACCCAAAAGCAAGTCCAAGTGGCGTCATAAAGCAAGGCATAAAGCTACTCTTGTCTTCTTCCTCCTTTTGAACTTGCAACGGCTATAAGGAAGGCTCGGGAAGGATCCGGAGGCTTCTAGATGCTTTGGAATCTTTGGATGACTCTTAGAAGGCTCTTAGAAGGCTTGAGAAGATCCTAAATGGCCGATCACAACTTTGTACGGACGGCCTCTCCTTAACTTGTACGGACGGCCTTGTACGGACACGGTGTAAAAGGGTTCTGATCGGTTGTGCAACCGATTGGCATAACCGATTGGAAGAGAAATGAGGTTCCGATCGGTGCACAACCGATCAGCACAACCGAGCGGCAATGCACACATCCTTCTTCACCGTACGGACGAGTGGCTCCGATCGGTTGTGCAACCGATCGGACCAACCGATTGGAAGTTCGGATGGATCTTTCTCTTCACTTGGTTCAATATTCGTCCTCCCTTACAAAACTTGGGGAAGCCATAATAAGCTTGTGTAGGCTTCTTGGAGTCCAATATGACAAGATTGGTGTGTATGACTGAGTATGAGAAAGAGAAATGCATCCCGGATCCTGGTTGTTAAAGTACCGTAAATGCAAAACAAAAAAAACTCATAGGGACTTCATCCTCACTTACAAAACTTGTGAAAGCCATAATAACCTTGTGTAGGCTTCTTTGAGTCCAATATGGCAAGATTGGTGTGTATGACTGAGTATAAGAAAGAGAAATGCAACCCGGATCCTAGTTGTTAAAGTAGCGTAGATGCAAAACAAAAAAACTCATAGGGACTTCGTCCTCCCTTACAAAACTTGTGGAAACCATAATAAGCTTGTGTAAGGTTCTTGGAGTCCAATATGACAAGATTGGTGTGTATGACTGAGTATAAGAAAGAGAAATGCAACCCAGATCCTGGTTGCTAAAGTAGAGTAGATGCAAAACAAAAAAACTCATAGGGACTTCGTCCTCCCTTACCAAACTTGGGGAAGCCATAATAAGCTTGTGTAGGCTTCTTGGAGTCCAATATGACAAGATTGGTGTGTATGACTGAGTATAAGAAAGCGAAATGCAACCCGGATCATGGTTGTTAAAGTACCGTAAATGCAAAACAAAAAAAATCATAGGGACTTCGTCCTCACTTACAAAACTTGTGAAAGCCATAATAATCTTGTGTAGGGTTCTTTGAGTCCAATATGACAAGATTGGTGTGTATGACTGAGTATAAGAAAGAGAAATGCAACCCGGATCCTGGTTGTTAAAGTACCGTAGATGCAAAACAAAAAAAATGTTAGAATTTAAGAGACTAAGCTCATAAGAAAGAGTAAACAATCACTTGGTGATTGAATCTCCTTTTATCCACACAAAGGGAACTCATTCTCAAGAGGAAGAGACCATCAACTTGTGATGGAATCTACACCAATATAGCTTGATAGAACCGAAATCTCTATGGAGAGAATCGATCCTAGCAAGAAAACTATCTCTAGTATGAAGCTAGATCCGTGAGAAGTAACACAACACTAAAGGTTTGTGTACTTAGAGAGAAACGAATCTATGAATCATTAAGCTAGAGTAAACAACATAAATAAGAGATAATCAAGAGTTTAAGGTGTATTTAAGAGAAGTATGACAAGCAATAGGCTGCCTAGAGGCAGCCCTAAATCGTGTAACACTATCTCTCTACATTGTAACTCTTTAGTTGAACACAAGTAAAGAAGATAGAGCTACACGAATTTGATATAAGAGCTTGTCTATTAATCTTGTGTGTTCTTTACAATGAGGCTTCTAGCCTTTATATAGAAAGGGAACTAGGTTAAGGTGTCTCACAATCCCCTTTAATCCTAGCCCTTCTTTTCTCTCTTTAAATCTCCACCATTCAATTCAAATAACTTCTAGAAGGTCCAACGGTCATGTTGACCCAAAAGCAAGTCCAAGTGGCGTCATAAAGCAAGGCATAAAGCTACTCTTGTCTTCTTCCTCCTTTTGAACTTGCAACGGCTATAAGGAAGGCTCGAGAAGGATCCGGAGGCTTCTAGATGCTTTGGAATCTTTGGATGACTCTTAGAAGGCTCTTAGAAGGCTTGAGAAGATCCTAAATGGCCGATCACAACTTTGTACGGACGGCCTCTCCTTAACTTGTACGGACGGCCTTGTATGGACACGGTGTAGAAGGGTTCTGATCGGTTGTGCAACCGATTGGCATAACCGATTGGAAGAGAAATGAGGTTCCGATCGGTGCACAACCGATCGGCACAACCGAGCGGCAATGCACACATCCTTCTTCACCGTACGGACGAGTGGCTCCGATCGGTTGTGCAACCGATCGGACCAACCGATTGGAAGTTCGGATGTTTCTTTCTCTTCACTTGGTTCAATACTCCCCCGCAAGCTTGAGCGTCGGGACAATAAGGACCAACGGTCAAGCTTGGAGATCTTCGGCCTTGTCTTCATGACTTCGGCCTTGACTCCCTTCTACTTCTTCTTCTCTTTCTTGAAGATGGCTTGGCCTCTTCGGCCTCTCTCTTCTTTCCTTCTTATATTTTAATACCCTCCCGCACGTTTGATCGTCGGGACAACATGAGGACCAGAGATCAAGCGTGGACTCGTGTCGACTACCTCATTAAAAACCTTAACAAAGAAAACCACTTGGGATAAAACTTTGTTAAGGGAAAAAGAGTATAGCCTTCACGGTCCTTGATGTCGCTATGATCTTGGTTTGTTAAGAACCGGCTCTCATCTCTTCAAGTCTTTGAACCGCTACACTGCCTTTAACTCGCTTCTCATGATCTCCAATCTTGCACTTCTCGAATTTCTTTGAGGCTCTCATAGTCTCCTTTACCCTTTAAACAAGTGATAAAGAAGAATATATAAGTGTATGCTATGAGGAATATCAAAGAGAATTTTAAGAATGTGACAAGTTTAAGAGAAACATATTATAGCATAAAGACTAGCAATTGAACTACGGTAATGAATTTAAATTTAAATAGAGTAGAGTTTTAGAGCACAGCCTTTGGTTTGAATCGCCATTCTTGATGATGGCTTCTTTTCTTTATCCCTTGAGAGAACTTCTTCAACGTGAATTGAAGAGGACTTTTGGATTCATCATGATTTTAAATGCTTTGAACATTTCGTTCAAAGACATCCCATGGTTCTCTTCCCCCTTCTTTCCTCCGTGAGTCTCTTCTTCAAGGGCTTTGTTTTTGTGGTCGCCATTTCTTCTTGGAATACTCTCAAGAAGAGATGGAAGGCATAAGCCTGAGAATAAGAGACAAAAATGAAAGTGTATGTTACCAAGAATAAGAGAATAAAGAGTATGGACTCAAGAGTGCCAATGGACAAAGTTCTTAGCTTTGTTTTCTTGAGTTGAGGTTGAAAGTATGTGGGGTTTAGTAACCGGAATGGGCATGAGAATTGAAGCTGCTCTCTTTCTTCAACACGGGTAGCCATTATTTTCTACTCCGGGTTCTTCAAGGTCTAACTCCAAGACGCCATGATACTTCCAACGAGTACCAATCATGTTGTCTACTTCGTGGACTCCATGGCTACTCCAAACTGCTACTTAACTTTTGTTGCGGTTTGAGCTCTCTTCTTGAGATCTCTATATCGCTTCTTAGAACATGTTAAACCATGATAGGTTTCACCATTTTTGAGCCTTGAAACCTTGTACATCAATGACTCTGAAGTCTTGTGCACATTCAATCTTGAGCTCCATGACTTTGACACTTGAATGCGTGAGCTTGATTCAGAATTCCCACCAGATTTCTTCTCTAATTTGATCGTCCACCAATGTCACTTCCTCTCTAACAACCACTTGAGTTCGCTGGCCAGATTTCTTCTTCGTGTTGTCTTGAGTTTTGACTTGGTTGGATCGTCTAAATGGACTTCAAATATAACCGGCTCTACTCTTCACTTTCTTAGTCCTTCATGACTTGTTCTGAATCCTTTCCTTGTCAACTTTTACTTCCTTGAGGCTCTCATTGGTCTCTTTGAGGCTCTTATGGTCTCCTTCACCCTTAAACAAGAGATAAAGAAGAAAAGATTAAGTTTTGCCATAAGGAATATCAAAGAAAACCAAATGAGGAATTTCAAAGCTATTAAGCAACAATTAGGAGTTCTTGAATATGATTAAGCTGTGAATCTAAGGCAATGGGTTAAAGAAAAATGTCATGAAATGAGAGTAGAGTTTAGAAACAGCCTTTATTTGAAGAAGACTTGAACTTTTGCGGTTGGTTCGCCTAATGGACTTCAAGTCTGATGGTGAATGGTTCTAACCCTCCCGCAAACTTATAGTGCCCAGATTATCCAGACCTTAATCTCGAACTAATGCATTCGTCTTCCCTTCATGAGACAAGCGATTCCTTGCAAAACAGATTAGAGTTAATGGACAACAAAACAAACTTGTCAAACGATTAGTGTAAGTGAATAGATGGCAGA